CTCTCTCTCTCTCTCTCTCTCTCTCTCTCTCTCTCTCTCTCTCTCTCTCTCCCAGGTGAAGTAAACTCAAGTTGAGAGAAGATATTAAGTGTACAGTCTTTCATAATAAGCTATACTAAAAAGCAGTGACTGCTCCAATTGAACAACAGAAGTAAAATCAAGACCAGACGTTGAAGAAGTGCTCCCCTTCGTAGATAAATAAATCGAAGCAGCTTCGAAAAAGACAAAACAAATAATAAAATTACAGAGCCTGACAAAGGCGGTGTGATTAGTGACAAACATAAGATGGGATGACGATTTACTGTAACATTAATTATAGCAAAACTTTCAGTAAAATGTGTGCACCCTGGAGCTAAACTTGAATGTTAGTAGGAAACAAAATAAATAACAATTTTGTATAAAAAGCTAGGGAAACAGAAGAGACATAGAAAATACACGCAAATAAGTTTAACCTGCACCGCACTTATAAACTGTTAGGAGTAACTCCAGAATTGAATGGAAAAGTGCTTTACGAAAACCAAGCAAAAGTAGAGCAGACTGGATTAAAAAGAAGGAGACTCAACAACAGACCATCTAATTAGATCAAGTAATAGAAGAATGGCACGAATACAACCAGAGATGATACAACGTAAGCTACAGCCATGTGTTGGTTTTACGGGCCGCGAAAAAGCCTTTTGACTCCACCGAACACTTTGCGATTGTTGAAGCTCTCAGACAGACGAATGTGAACTAGACATAGAATCTAAGGCCTACATGCAATCACATGTATTGATAAACATTTATCTCAAGGCATCTGCTCGAATCCATTTTGATAACCACGTGTCAGAAAAGTTTGCTATCGAAAACGGGATGAGACAAGGAGACCGCCTAGGCTTAAAACCCACAGAGGAAACAAATGACGAACTACAGCAGCAACAAAAAACAGTAAGTTGCCATATAAAACAAAAACATTGAAAAAGTGAAATATAGGCGTAAATATAGAAAACAAAAACATTGAAAAAGTGAAATATAGGCGTAAATATAGAAAACAAAAACATTGAAAAAGTGAAATGTAGGCCTAAAAACATTTAGGCCAAACAATAGGAGGATGACACAAAGACTGGAGTGAAAAGAGGGATTACATTTTATGCGGCTTGAATTTGCTTTGGAAGACACAGAGAAATACAATAAGGTCTATTATGTTTACACGTCAAAAGCTGCCGATATCACTTCACTAAAAAGACAAATTTCATTCTTTGTCTTATCCCAGTGATGAGCCTTTTTTTTTTTTTTAAAGTTTTTGTGACAGTTTTACTGCACTCGCAACATAATAAGGTCATACAAGTGCCGAAGATTAGGAGTGTTACAAGAGAGCAACAAAGACAGAAAAGAAGGAGGAGAGATCAGTACGAGATATCTGACGGGAAAGAAAGAGCAAACCACACCAGAGCCCCCGCCAACCACCCACAGTGATGAGCTGTATCATGTTGTCCTTAATTTGTTTATGATATTTACATATTTATTTAATGATGAACTAGTTGTCCTTAATTTGTTTATGATACTTACTTATTTATTTAGTGATGAGCTATACCATAAATAAATAAGTAAATATCATAAACAAATTAAGAACAACACACAGAGAGCAATGGAAACTAAGATGTCGATAAGAAAACGAGACCAATGGGTCTTACTGCAGTGAAATCAGACGCTCGTCAAAACAATGAAATCGAAGAAATTCACGTTTTGCCACCCGTCGGAAAAAAAGGGGGGAGGGGGGCTCAATATAGATCTATGTCCATTTAAAAACACATTTATGTTGGGCTTTTTTTTAGGCCTACTGAAAAATGTTGATCAAAGGCACCACAAAAGAAATATGCAGTGTCCAAGGACGCATGCAAGCTTTGAAAGTCATCAAACTTTGGTGACTATTTTCTATCTGATTTTATATTTGACAACAGGCGACCCCCATTCCCTCAAACGCAAATATCTCGATTTCTATTCAAGATAGACGGGTATTTTTTCCCCAAACGCAAAACATAATGAATAAGCTTTAAGATCACACCACCAATATCGTAACGGGCTGTTCAAATATAATCTTACACATTTATTGGGACTTTTTGACCCCCCCC